TAACGTTTCCTACAATAGTTTCAGATATTTTGACGAAAGAGGTAATTGCAATTTCAGTATGATCGCGAGATAATAATTGGAATTCACGTTGAAGATATATCAGATACGATAGAAATACTAATTTACTATTTGCTTAGGGCTATGAAGCTATTAGTGTAATGGATAGGCTTAATGAATGATGAAATTGGTCGATTAGGCGGTCGTTTAATTGCCTCCTATGCTTCTCTTAAATACTGTAACACGCTAAACGAAAAATACATGTTAGTTGTATTCTTTGTATAAAAATTCAACGTTGATACAAAAATATCATCGTTCTATTCAATCTACATATGTATATACACAGTAGTCCATAAGTACAAGACGAGTCGTTAAAATATTAGAAATAATTTCCACACATTGTCCTGTTAACGGTAAAATAATGATATTCTCTTAATTATCGAAGTAACACGTGCTTACCTATTTTACAGAACGGAAGACGATCAAGTAGACGTGTCAGCGATATCACCGTCTGTCTCCTTGGAAGATGAGTGTCTCGGTGATTTCTTGTACGCGGCCGAGCCGCCAGAAGATGCAGCCGAGTCGAGAAGCGCGAACTCGTCGATAACGAGCAACTTTTCTGAGGCGGAGCCGATCTACAAGTCAGCGCTGCATTCCAGAACTTACAGGCAGTCTTCGTCTGTGAGAGCATGGCTGGGTGATCTCGCTGTAGAAACTGAAAACGAGTGCGGCAACACACTTCAGAGTAAAGCGCTACCGCGACGAAAGGCTCGCGAGTTCTTGAACGAAAAGGACGAGATGAACGATCTCAAGGCTCTGTCGTCTTTGGCTACAGCTGCAGCCAACAAATTGCTCGTCAGAGCTGAGCAATTCGATCGACATTATCAGTACATATTCGAGTGAGTGTGTTTTAGATGAATTCTAGGTGTTCTGTTAATTGTATGCCGTAAGATTTAAGAAACGTATCGGTGATTTGAGGAGAATAGTATCAATGTACTGATGAACGATATTTTGTTGTTTTTTTTACAGTAAAGTGTCGCATTTAGAAAGCGGCAGATCGGAACAGCAGCTCCTACGTGCCATAGAGGACGACGCTTTCTCCGTGCTTTCGGAGCTAGGTGCACCGCCTCCGCGTAGAATTCAACAGAGCAGCTTGAAAGGAATCCTAGCGCAGCTAGAAAGTATGAAGAATTACGTGGACAGTGCTATAGATACTCGTTTAGATTTTTATATCGAGGTAAGATTTCATTCGTGTTATGTAATTGTTGAAGTGATATACACGATGGCTAAATGTTGATGTTCCTTCGCAGAGAGTGGTGAGAGGATTAGAGGAAGCGCCGAAGGACGATACCATGTTAGCCAGAGGTGCTTTGGCGGCTTTAACGGCTCTAGGATTGGCGGGACCTCGAGCTGGAAGCAGTATTACAAGGTGTTTAGGTATCAGGGCACTTCTCACGTCACTTATCACCGCTGGAAGGACGTCGGTAGATTTTGTCGCAGCTTCTCTGCGCGCTTTGGCAAGCGTGTGTTGTTCTGCCACGGCGATAGATCAGTTTGTGAAAGATGGAGGTCCAGAGATATTGACAGACTTACTGGTCGCTGATAACAAGTCTGAGAAGGAAAAGATGGAGGCAACTGCTTTAGTTGTACAAATCACTGCACCATGGGTGAACGCTTTGGGCCTGCCTTACTTGGAACCTTTTGTCAAAGATCTAATACCGCCTTTAAACCGTCTAGTCGAGAGCACCAACTGTGGCCAAACTTTACTGCTGGTCGCAGCTGCGTTTAACCATTTGTCCAAGTCGAGGAAATGTGCCATTGTGATACTGGAGCATAACACCGTTAAGAAGTTGCTGAGAACTGTAAAGAAGTCAACTGGCAGAAATGTTTGGTTGATGGAGCAGGTAGCGGGCCTTATCAGCGAGTTGGCGCGCATTCCTGAAGCTCGAGCGCACCTGGCGGAAGCCCGTGCCTCTATCGCGTTGGTTTCTTTCCTCAGAATGAGACCTCCGGGCTTGGAGGATGCGTACAAACGTTTAGAGATTACCGCCGCGACGGCATTAACGAGACTCTGTGTCGATCCAGAGATTGCAAGGCAAGTTGTTGCTGTTGGTGGCGCGGATTGTTTGCCGTCGTGTAAGGCTGAGGATCTTCTGACCGAGAACGAAGAGCAAATCGAGGCTGGATTGCTCAGGTATACGAAGTCTTTGAGAAGAGCTTGCAAAAGAGCCGCGAAACAAATTGACATAGCGAAAGCCAGTGACTATAGTACTTTGAGTTAAGATTAACGCGAAAGATTTCAAGTTGTACATATATTTTGTAAGAAAAAGAGATTTTATGTTTATACTTATATTATGTACATATGTACTTGTGTAATAAAGGAATTATATATCTGCTAAATATTTATATTACGTGTACATGTATAGAAACGTATATTGTATATATGTATTTTATTATGAATCCTAATTTGAATGCGAGTGAAAAATTAATACATTATAAAAGTATTCGTAAAAATAGTATATTTTCGTCAGCAGGTACATTATATACAAAGAGTAAAAATCTAAATTAAAATTATAATACTTGTGGAAAATGAGTACAATTTGAATTGACACAATTAATACATAAACATAATTTGTTCATTTACAGTTACGTAAGTGCCGCTTTTTTATGTTAACGTAAAATTAACATTATGTCGCGTCATTTTTCAGTTGATTTTTGTGAAATATGTCTATAGTTGTTTCTAAACAAGGCCTCAGTTCGAGATCATAGGCACCCAACACAAACTTTCCATCAGGTGCTTTAAAATAATCTAGACCACGGCCTATTTTAATTACCCAACCATTGCTAAATCTGAAACAAGAATAAAACACAGCTAAAACATATTAAATACAGTAAACA